CAACCACATATATCAATTACACAACTTTCGTGAGTCGTCTTTGCTGTAATTGCATAGAAAATTGCAGCCACTGGAAGCTTTCGCTATCCGGTTGGAGCAGCAGTACCAGCAGCAGCAGCAGCAGGATTAGCAGCAATTGCAGTAGCCCATGCAAATTGGCTCATAGCTTGACAGTGGGCACAAAACAATTTCAGTAATTGATGGCCAAGCAGTTGTGCTGGCCGGGCCAACTTCTAATTCCGTTTGCAGTTGAGAGCAGAGAATCCAAAATTTTTCCCTTAAATACATTCGTGAAATTCTGTTATTGTTATTCTATGCACTTTTCTGTTTGCTCGGCTTTGCATTGCTTTGCTTTCACTTTGACTTTGGCAACGCAAACATTTTTCCGCTTTTCGCATGGAAATTCTGCGAAAAAGCCAACCGAACAAATTTATTTCAAATGCGTTGACTACGTGCGTGCCCTGCATGGGCGGGATTGTGTGGGGGAAGGGGGGCCAAAACTTTTGGTTGTATCTCACTCGACACGGCACAAAGATGTTTATCATTTCTATCATTTTTTATTTTTTTTTATTTTCTTGTTGTTGTTTTTGTTGCTGAGTGCTAGCTTTCAATTTGTGCATGCGTGCTGTGTGTGTGTGTGTGAGTGTGTGTGTAAAAGTGCATTATAAAAATATCAGACTCTCAGCAGGATTCCGATGTAAATTGTATTTTGAGCAGCAATTGCTGTTTGTGTAGTTTCACAAAGGTTAACTTAACTGTAATAATCAAAGCTAAAATGTGACGAATGTTTCAGCTCTTTCGCTGCTATACACTGAATATCCTTGTATATATGCTCCTTGACATACAGATTAATCTAATACATAAATATTTTCTACATACAGAATAAAACCTACCTGTTTATCAATAAATTTGCTGTATTGATTTATATCGTTAAGTTTGAAGTGTGGCAAATGCTTTTAAGGCGACGTCAAGATTTCAATACTTATTAGAGAGTAAGCCAAACCGAGTTTTTTTATATATTTTTTCCTTCAACTCGGCACTGGCATTAAATCAAGTTTTAGAAACTTGGCTCTCCTCAGCCTTTTGCCAATGCTGCCATTGATTTATGTGCGACGGCGTGCCAACACGCCAAGTCTGCAGCAAGATTTTGCCTCAGCCTCCCCCCTCCAAAGTCTTGGGGATATACAACAACCTGCTGCTGGAGCGAAAATAAATGTTACTTTAAATATGGGTAAAACCTCTGGAAATGTACGTATCGCTAAATCGACTAAGCCCAACTTTTGTGTATTGCGGACTTGCTTACAGCTGCGCGAACTACACAGGTGAGCGGTGAGAGGTAGGCGGCGGAGGTGATTCAGTGGGGCACCTGGCGTGGCAACCAGCTCAGCTCAATAAGTGTGCAACAGAATTTTCTGAACAAATTTGCAAAAAATGTTGCTCGCTGACTTCTTTCTGTTTCAGTGAGTCACCTTTTCGCCAGAGTCAGCTTCCCATTGCAGCTCAGCTTTTCTATTATTGCTTTTGACTCGTGAATGCGCTGGCAAATTGCATTTCACACCATGGGAATAGCTTTGATGCAGTTGACTTACCTACTAATTCAGCTATTGGTAGAAAAGTGAGCTAATAGATAGATTAAGTTGTTGCTTTAATAGATTACGACTCGCGGTATGATAGCTGCGATTCGAGAGGGAAAGAAAAATTGGGAGTGAAATGTGGGGGAGTTCGAGTTGGAGCATGAGAAATATGTTCTATGGTATAGAAGTTATTAAATATATATAACATATTGATACAATATAATAGAGAATATATTGTCATTGCTAGAGAGATATGCTATACGTAGTTTCGGCTGTTGCCGAGTAAAAACGAGAGAAGCTAAGCATGTTCTTCGTATAGAGTAGCTATGACTTCGATAAACAAAGACAATGCAACAAGAAGTTCAGAGTTAGAGAGAAAGTTCCTGATACAAGGTTATGGAACAACACAGAGCGATACGTTATAGACAGTGAGACAGAAGGTGCCTGGGTACAAGGGACGGAGCAATTCCTTATAAAATGAACCACTTTGGTAAAATGTCAAACTCAACAAGAGCGAGAATTCGTTATAGGGCAGAGGTAATAATTATAATGGAAGCCGACCAGATGATTAATTGTGGAATTGGTTTTATTAGTTTTTTAATTCGTAATTATTATAAAATATTTTTAAAATATTTAAAAATAAATGAGTTCGTTTATAATAACTTAGGGCATTAGATTATCAACATACGCTAAAGTTATTTAGATGTCTCATTTAGTTCAGTTTTTGTAGATGGTCAAATAATTAATAATAATTAATCAAATTAATTTGTTAGGAGCTGGTTGAATTAAGCTGTGAGCCACTATATTGACAGTCAAATCCAGATATTTCGAAATGGTAAGGGGGTCAATTTTTTTTTTCGAATTACACATAAAATCAAATTATTGAGAATTATTTAGGCCGTTCTAAATTTCTAAATTTTTCTTTGATTTATCGCATTTTTTGATTTAGCAGAGTACAAATTATCGAGACTCGACTGTATATACATATAAATATATGTATATCTACATATATGTATATGTAACATTTATAAGTAGTCCTGCGTCATGCACTAGTAGTTGGTCCATCAATACATGTAGTATATAAACGTTACAACATGGTCTGAGAAATCATTTGAATGCTATGTAGTAATGAGTAGTTCTCAGTAATAAGAGGGGCACTTGAATTGCATTTCTAAGAACTGAGTATGTACTCACTCTATCTGCTAACTGCAGTCGAGAAAATAAATTAATAAAGGCTTTCTGAAATTGAAACCTAAATCGAGCACTGGCACTTTGTGTGGATGTTTCCGGGAATGTAGAAGCCGCAAGCTATGATGGGAAAACGAGATGAATATGAAAGATTGGTTAAAGCACTATTTTCATTAGAAGCATCTGGAACATAATCTAGATATAAAAGATGTTGATATGCTAGTTTATATGTTTGTTTATGATCCAGTTATATACGGTTTAGTTGGCAACTGATTCTTAAATTCGCTGCAACTCAAGTGACATACGATTTAGAGACATCATTAAATGGTTGAGTTATAGCTACTAAAGGCTTCATTTTATTTGAGGACTGTACGCAGCTCAGTTGAGCTGTCGTAAATAGATCTTTAAAACAGTTTTAAGCTTTATTGACTTGTTTAAGAATGCCAGAGAGACAGACACTGGAAAGTAACTTGAAGTAGTAAATGAATGTGATTGAGCTATAAGGAAGAGCGTAATGATAATCTACTGCAGTTGGAATAGTTTGATATTCTCTACTCAATGGAATGTATGTATGTAGTATGTAGAGCATAAAGTTCTAAAATTAGCTGAAGATATCTAGTAAAAAGTGAATAAAAATCGAACAGCTTTGATTGAAGAAAATCAATATCTTTTTATAAGCCATTCATTAGTTGATTGATTTATCTCCCACGACTCCTGCTACAAACACTTCCGTTGACTTTGCAAATATTTGTCTACAAAGACTTCTGGGTCAACTGCATTGATATAAATTAACTTTAAGCATACTTCTCTTGCTCACACTCGAAACGTTACTCAGTTAGTGCCGCACTCCTCGCATTGTGGTCACAGTCTGATTTCAATTACTTGATTACTTTACAGAGCCAAGTCTCTGCATAATTTCGTTTAATTTGCGTTTAATTGAATTCCACATTGCCTGATTTTCGGTTCACATATTCCGATTTAGTTGCGGTGCATTGCAGTGTAATTAAATAAAGCCTCTGATTGACATTGCGGACGGCTTGACGCTGAGCTGATTGACCGCAAGGCGAGTCCAGGTTACGGTGGGGCGTGGCTGATAAGTGATGGCTAATCGATTTGCCAGACAATGAGATGTACTCTATAAAGACCCGCCGCTTCTTCTGCCCCCACGTCAGCCTCATAAAGCCAGTCGATGAGCAGCGGACAAACAATCTGAAACGTGTGTTGCCCAAAAGTCAACAGCCCGAAATCGAATGGGTGCCACTGCAATGCGAATGAACGACCAGCGGCAAATTTGTAAAATGCCGTGAAATATAAAACGTGACCAATGCAGTCGAATTGACAACACACACGCACACTCATGCACACACACATAGACAGCTGCACTTTGCGTTTATGCTGCATTTCGGTTGCGTATACGACGTGTGTGCCCCAATGGCCACGTTCCGCCAGCTAAAGCTGAAACATTTGATTATTCTGCTGATGGGATTACGTTGTTAATTTTCGTCCTCCTCTTCATTCTAATCAGTTTTGATTTGGTTCATACGCTGAGCTCATTGAAAATGTAAAATCAGGGCAAAAAGGTTTTGGGAAATGTATTTAACAGGCAGAACGAGGGTTGGCAAAAGCCACGAATTATATGCTATATATTTTATATTATGGGATATATGAACGCGTCGATCTCTGAAAGGATAAGTGTTAGAGATTTTAAATTATATTGAATGTTCCTATATGAAGCATGCACAGATCGAGTTTAATTAGAGAAATTGATATCTATTCCAGTTTGGATGTAATCGATTTATCGGCTAATTAAAATGTAGTTACCATATTTTCATAGCTCACAAATAACAGTTGAGCGTTTCATTATGTCTAAAAATAAATCTTTTCTTTTACTGACACTCTGAAAATGGTTATTCGTTTTCCCCTCGACTGTTTGGATCAGTTTTATAAAAACAGGTAAAGGTTTGTATTGGTATGCGAAGGCTCTGTTGTGCATGTGTATGTGAATGGGAAGACCATTTGTATTGATTTTAGCATACTTACTAATCCGAGCATCAAACGTATTGCTCCTTAAACGATGTCCGTGTCAAGAGCGTAGATCAACTCGGCCCGCACACTAGAAAATAATAATGAAAAGTAGTAAAGCAAGAACAGTTGAATAAAAAATACATAAATAAATTCGTCTATGTAAAAATCCAGCTAGTTCTGGGTTTAGGGTACCTCTTAGAGTTTTCTTATTTTTGATTTTTAATAATTTTATTCCTTTTCTCGTTACACTTAAAAGCACATTTACACAGTTGGAGTAAGTCTTAGGTCTAGTAGATTTAAACGGCAAATGCACCTTTCAAAAATACCTTAAAACTTAAAACTAAACTTAAGTTTAAGCTGAAAATTCGTCATACTGAATATACTTATTTATATTTTAAGAAAACACGAGGGTGATGCTTGGCTTCTCACTGGGAGTCTCTATTAATACTGCTAGATAGATAGAGATAGAGTAGAAAAACTGAATACGTATATGTTAGTGCTCAGATCATACATAATTTCTATACACTTAAGGGATATTCTAAGTAAGTTTAGCGACTAGTTTCATAGATCAGTTTGCTGAATCAGGCTGGAGCCGCGTCGTGTTGTCGTGCAGAACGCCTCCTGCTGATCGCTGAGGCAAATGATCAGATTCTCTCTCTCTGCATCTGGCGCGGGCACGGTCAGCTTGCCATTGGAGCTGCACGACTTGGGCGCATTGGTGGAGCCCGTCTTCTCGGCTGTGGTTGTCGAGGAGGTGGTGGTCGAGGAGTTGTTGTTGCCCATGTGCAGAGAGAGCAGCGGCGGCTGCTGTTGCTGCTGCTGCTGCTGCTGGGTGGTGTTCAGCAGACGTTTGGAGCCGCCGCGTCGTCGGCTGCCCTGCTTGGTGAAGACGCTCGGCTCCAGCTGGAGCTGGGCATTGATGTCCTGCTTGTTCATGCAGGTGAAGGCCTTGAAGAAGCTCTTGCGAAAGTTCTCGCTGAGGAAGGCGTACAAAATGGGATTCACTGCCGAGTTGGAGTAGACCAACGCGCCCAGCAGCAGGAAGATGAGTATCTCCAGCCGTGACAGATCACGCTGTGCCGGATTCGAGTTGATCAGCGCCAGCTGCGACATCCAATGCGGCAGCCAGCAGGAGATGTAAACGGTGATGACGGTCAGCACTAGGCGAGTTACCTTGCGATGGGCGCGACGCTTCTCCTTGGACTTGGTCGTGTGCTTGGGACCCACCGAGCGCAGCTTGCGTATGACCAAATAGTAGAAGCTGAGTATGAAGCACAGGGGCGTGGCGAAGCCCAGAAAGAAGGTGTACAGTATGAAGGTGGTGCCGGAGTGCTTCTTGTACGCGTCTGGCCACATGATGTTGCACGAGTAATTGATGCCATCCTCCTGCTCGACGGTGCTGGCATAGAGCATCACGGGCAGCATCAGCACCGCCGAGGTGCTCCAGGCCAGCGCCGAGACCAGCTTCGCGATGTGCAGAGTGCGATAGCGCGGCGACGATATGGGATGACAGACGGCTATATAGCGATCCGCCGACATGATCAGCAGAAAGATGGAGGAGGTGAACGACGTGATCGACGTGCTCACCATATACGCCTTGCACATCAGCTCCCCGAAGCGCCAGCTGCAAATGCGCATCGTGTAGAGCAGAAAGGGAATGCCAATCAGAAAGCACTCGTCCGCTATGGCCAGATTGAGTATGTAGATGTTGGTCACCGTCTGCATCTTGGAGAAGCGCAGCACCACATAGATGACCAGCGTGTTGCCAAACAGGCCCACAATGCAGACGAGCCCGTACAGCACCACAGTCAGCAGATCCGCGAAGGAGTTACGCGTCGCCATGCAGTGCTGATACGTCGGCAGATCCGTGCTGTGCATCGAGCTGCCCGTCGCTGGCAAATATCCCTCCGGCTGGGGGCTATAGAGCGTATCATTCGGATAGTCGTAGGGCCCCCTGCTTGTGTTTCCTCCAGCCAGCAGCCAGTCCGGCTGCTCTGACTCGGTCGTCGGACTGCCACAGACCAGTTGAAGCCACACGAACAATAGCCACATGGTTGTTGCTATAAGCTCTCTACATATATCAATATATATGTTACGTATATATTTAGTTTGTATTTTAGTTTTAAGCCTTATTGTTGTTTTCTCATTTGCCAAGTTGCAAACATGTTGTTGTCTGTTGCCTGCAAAATAAATATGCAAATTGCCAGTTAGATATTTTCTATTGGAAAAGCTTTTGTGCTTGTTACAAATTGATTGAGCTAGGGATTAAAAAGTTAGAATGCAGACTAACAAATACTCTAAACTAAACTAAATTTTCATTAAGACTGTAAACCTTTAATATTTTAAGCTGAAAGGAAACTTTTTCCGATCTATGATCTATTGCAATTGTGATACTTTAGTTAAATAACTTGCGTATTAGTGTTGCGATTTCATTGCAATTTTTAGCATGATGTCTTCTTATATTATTATATAAACGTCAATTTTGTTACATCCTCAATCTTTTCACATATTGCCAATTTTCGCAAATGAACTTCAATTTTAGGAAAATTGTGAAAAATTTTATTGTTAGCCAAAATAAAATGCAAATCAAAATTGTATAAAATACACAAATAGCTAAATGCAAAATTAGGAGCCTCTAGCTTCATACACGTAGGAGCATACCTATGTAATTTAATACAGGTATCAAATTCAGGAAGTATGATAATCTATAACACTAAACAGGTATAGCTATTGATTACTAATTTTTTACATTTATTTTATATATATATTTATTTTTAAGTATTTATATATTTAATATATTCTATTGAAACTTATATATTTATATGTTTATATAATATATTTATATTTTTTTATTTATTATTATTTTATTATTATTTTTTAAAATTGTAAGTCTCTTGCTCTTATAGGTTCAGATTTTGATACGTTCATATGTACGCACGGACGGTGAGATGGATGAACAGATGGACGAATGTAGTGCTGTTCAAGAATATTTCTACTTCAGTGCCTACACGCTTCCTTCTGCTTTTTTTTATAAGACTCAATGAACTATGCCTGTTGCATACATATTCACAAACCCATTATGCCCGGATTTTTCATTTTCAGTGGGCTCAGGGTACTCAAAAGTTATTTCAGATTGGCCAGTTAATTAATTGTAGCTATGGTTTCCCAGTGATAGCGAATCCTTGATGCATTCATTTATAAACTTCTGTAAACTTCAATTAAACCACTTCCAGGAATAACTAGAGCAAAAAGTAGTTAGCAATTTATTGATTGAGCTCAGCAACTTTTGCGTGTATCATTGAGCTACAATTTTTTTTTTTTTTGCGAAACTTTCTAGTCCGACTTTTTGGCCGAATTTCGCGCTCCTAACTTTGGCCAAGTCCGTGAAATTCATGGCTAATGCGCGCAATTAACTTTGCGCAAACATAAAATTCATTTTGCACAATCAATAGGAAATGGGATTTGCAAATTGGCATTAACATTTCAATTGAATTCAAATTAAGCATATTTCAACTCGAGAGAGCAGCAAATATATTCTCACTCAACAATCCAATAAGTGCAGGTGTGTGTGGTGCAGGTGTTAAGATAAACAGCCTGTGCTGTTGGCCATTCCAATTGACCTTTGGTATCGATACTTTGCTTAGCTTTTGCCAGGCCCCAAATTTGACTATAAACATATTGGCTTAGGCTTGTGTTTAGCTAGGCAAATTAATTTGTGGCATATTTCACACTACGCAAATATTGTAGTTGGCCCCGGCTGGCTCCACATTTTGCTGGCCCAAATGAAAATGGCCCTCTGCTATTGGCAGGTTAATGCATCTGCCATAAATTACCACACATTTTCAAGTGTTGGATAAACAAGCCAAGCTCACAAAGCTTTACCCAAACCCAAACATTTCGATTTCCATGCAACGCGCCTCGAGCACTGCAATACGAAACTGCACTTTGAAATGGGAAAATTAAACAAAAACTGTACAGAGACGAAACATTGCAATGGAAATTGCTGCAATGTAGCAGGTAGTTGATAATGCCAGAGACTGTGGCTTTTGTTGGAAAATAATTTGAAATATGCACATGTACAGACAAATTGTTATATGTTGTTCAATGTTTCGGGTCTGAAATGGCTGTGAACTCACTTACAAATATTGAGCAGTTAGCTCAAGGCCATTTTTCGGAAGTTGTGGAAAACAAGTTTTTATTATTATTTTTTCTTTTTAAGTTGCTACAGCTAAATGATTTACTATAGATAATTTTTCTTTTAACTTTAAACAGTTATTAGGCCTGTGATGTAGCATTTAACATACAACTTATTTTTCTCTGCCTAATATTAATTTATTTTATTCCCTTACAGGGGGATACTTTTTCTTTGTCCTCATTTACTCATTTCATACAATGTGCAATTTTAACAACAGTTTCACAGCTTCTGCAAAATATATTGAAAATTTTTTAAAAATATTTAGGGTATTTGCTAAGCCCCAATAAGTATGCTACACTATTTTTGGGTCGATCTGGATCACTGTTGATGATTATAATTACAAACTCAAGGTTCTCAACTTTAAGTGGGGATATAGCCTTTTCGATTTTTCACGCCTCAAGAAACGTTTCTATAACTATTTAAATTTCTATAACATAGATCAACAGTAATCGGATTGTCAAATTTTTAAATTCAAGCGTTGCACTTTATTTTTTAAAACCCTAAAAAAAAAGTCAAATTTTGACATATATGTAAATATAAATATATATAAATAAATATATATCACAACATATTTGACCCAAACAACTATAGCTTCAGAAATAACAATAAGTTCGGTACTTCATTCGCTTAAACAGAAGGAAAAACCTCTCAACTGTCGCACACGTTAAGCTCACTTTAAATTTTAAGTCAGCTCTGCAAAAACCTGGCAGAAATTGCTTTTCACAGTCGGATTGAAGCTGATTGAAGTCGACCCACAAATTGCCTGGGTATTCGGTTTGTCAAAAGCGTTTTAAATTTCGTTGTCGTCCACAGTTCATGCAACTGGAACGCGACTCACGAGTAATAAATCGCTTGCAATTGACGATGGCGCTCATTGAGTGGCGGGAGGCGGCGGCTGTGGGGGGAATTGTGGTTGATATCGGACAGGATTTGGTTGTGCCATCAATTAACGGAAAGTTCAGCGTCAGGTGCGTGAAATGAGCATGCGAACAGCGGAAAGTTGACGCGTTGTCAAGGCAAAGAATATCATAGTTGCGGTTTAAGATATTTATTTAAGTTGAGCAATTTAAAATCAGGATGCCTAAGTATGTGTATGATATATAGGTTCATGTCCCGTACTTCGCACAATTAAAAAAAATGTCGAAAATAATAAGGTAAAAAACATACAAAAATTAATAATAAAAAATAGATTTTCGAAAGTGTTTGAAAATGATCATTTTTATGGATTTCCTTTAATACATCTACAATCTGTATTATTATTTCAATTTTTTGTTATTATTTATTATTTGATTTTAAACTATTATTGAATACATAAATTTTTAAATATTTTTAAATTTTCATTATTAATGTTAAAATTTTTTGTTATGTCCATATATTAATTTGTTTTGAATACTATTAAATGTTACATTAATATTTACTTTAATTTAAGAATAATATAGAAATAATATAATAATAATTATATATAAAATATGGGAGTTGTCTAAACTTGTTAATGGTAAATACTAAAATAAATTATTAATTATACTTTTCAGATAAATTGTCCTATTGCTAACATCTCTTATAAGTTAGTTATAAGTTAGTTATTAGTTATAAGTTAATACATCCAATGATTTCAGTTTTTAAACAAATCTAATTAAACATGCGTATAATTATATATTTATATAAAGAATATAAGATCATAAGAAATTGCTAGTGGTAAAGAAATTTTTTTTTTGTTAAATGGTTAGTCTGACGTCATTTCAGATTAATTATTAAACTGCTAGTTTTCATTATTCTAAACATAGACTATATTTTAGTATAAAAATTACTTCAAACGATTCTATTCGCTCTATAAAAGGGAAATTGATATTACTAAAAAATACTAAATATTTATTTTTTCTGCCAATCAAATGTTAAATGCATTTAGTTTTGCATAAATCATAAAATATTCTGCAAATGGGGTAGTGGGTGACCTTTCGCCCCCTTTGCCCGCATTTTATTGCAGTGCTAACTGCTTTGACATTCGGCTGAAGGGTTTTAACGGCTTTAGTTTAACACCTGTCGACGCTTTGTTCTGATATCGTATTCGTAACTTCTGTCTGTTGAATAGTTTTTTGTTTTTGCTTTTATTGTGCTATCAAATGGCAAATTGCAGGCAACTGCTGCTGCTGCTGCTGCTGCTGCTATTGCTATTGCAACAATTGTTGCTGGTAACTGCAACCGCAATTCGGTCACAAATTGCAGCAGCAGTTGCGGCTGGGTGTGGCTGCAGTCACAGCTTATTCACAGAGCTCTGTCCATTGGCTGCCGTTTGACAGGCAAATAGGAGAACATGTGCTGCAATCATTGCAGCCACTCTGAGGCAGACGTTGGCCAAGCGAACTGAGAGGGCTAAGAGTCAGCTGCAAGTGCCCAGTTTTCGATGCTGACTCAGAGAAAGTCGGCTCCCCTCATAGCTGTCAAGTTTGTTCTGCTTATTGTTGTTGTAGTGTTGTTGAGAATGTCCCTTGGACGCATTTTGAGTGTGGCGCTTATTAAAAATTTATGCAGTTTATGAGAGACCGAGCACTCGGTGCCCATCTTCTAGTCGGATGCGGTGCAGCATGTGTCTGGACATGGTTGATGCCACTGCTGCCGCTGCTGCTGCTGATGATGATGTGGCAAAGGGCTATAAAGCAGCAGTTTAGCCTGGGGGATATGCATCAAAGCTGCGTCGAGCTGTTAAAGCGTAAAAACTATCGCATAAGCCACAGCAAAGACTACGACTGAATGGTATTCCATTCAGAGCTTGTCGCTAGAGATTTTTCAGCGCAAGCATTGAGTTTTAGTGAATTTCATTGAAGGGCGCAAAGTTCACATACTGGAAAAAAAAAAAAAAAAAAAAAAAAAAGGAAAAAACTCAAGCAGGGGGAATTTGCTTTGTCACTACGGTTTATATAAGTTGAATAGTTAATGATGTATGCAGTGTAGGATTTATATCTAGCTTATATATACTATATATACAGA